GAGAGAGAGAGAGAGAGAGAGAGAGAGAGAGAGAGAGAGAGAGAGAGAGAGAGAGAGAGAGAGAGAGAGAGAGAGAGAAACATCGCTACCATGATAGTACCATCCAGTTATTCCTTCCGGACAGTCGGCTGTCCTTGCGCTAGAAATCGGATGTCCGCAGGCCTGTCCAGAGTAATTTTTTTGGTAATTGGGATCGGAAAACGAGCACATCACCGCCGTGACATCGGTCGGCTGGATGTTCATTATGCAACAGTTATCGCCTAGAAAAATAATTATTTATGGACAACAGTTCAAAAAGCATAATAAATTAAATAATTTGTTTCCATTTTTTTTTTTGGTTTCTCCACAGGTCTGTCCACCTTCCCCCTAGGTCCACCTACGGGAACTTTGTTACGAATTCTCCTTCCTCTAAAGAGTCTAAACGATAACAGTTTGAAGAACTTCTCACAGCAGCTGCAGTGACAAACCGCGAGGATCACCGCAACGCAATCCAGACACTTCACCGGGGCCTAGGTCCCACTTACGCGAATTACGCGATATCGACCATAGATAGCAAAGATTAACGGCCACAATCTCTTAATCCGTGCAAGTGGGACCTTGCCCCGGACCATACGATTGGTCAGACCACGGCGCGCTCTGTACAAAAGGGCAGGCCGTGGGACGTCATCCACACAAGCTGAGGATTCTCGGCGAATTTCTCGCTTACTAGGGGATCGCAAACATAGGCCCTGTGTATGTGTAAAATTGCAGGCCCTGATTCCTATCTCGAATCTTTGTTTCTCTTTCGGTAGCCTCTCTAAGTTCCTTCTCTAACCGTAAGCGGATCAACTCCACCTGTTGGAGTTTTATTGCCTCTTCTGTGCGTGGAGATGGCAAGTTGTACTGCAAAACGTCATCAGCACAAGCTGCCTAGGCAGGGCCCTCTCGAAATTATCTGCACAAAAGGGGAGAGGGCCCTGTGTAAAACTGCAATTATGATATAGCATTAATAATAGTATTAAATTAAGTCTATTATCTACAAACAACTTTTGGCTGAGGTTCCTTGCGAAATTCCTTAGTAAGTTAATACTAATTAGTAATTTGGAGATAAATAATTAAGAAAACAAGAGTCGAGATACATGGGCATACACCCCTTTTTTCAAGTCTAAATTTTAAACCGTCTTTAAACCACCAGTACTTGGCCCATACATCGGCCGCGCCGGTTCGGCAGTTTTATTTGTGAAGGCCCGCGGGCCCAGTCGGGACAAGTCCGGTAGTTCGACAACGGACATAGGTTTACGACCGTTTGTGCCTGGCCGGCCAGCCAACGTACGGAAATCATTGAGCTGTACGGACGAAAGTTGTCGTGAACCGAAAGGCGGGGAAAAAAAAGAAAAAAAAAGAAAAAAAGTATTTGACAGGTGGTTTCACGCCGCGCGGTGGCCGGTGGGTGCTTGCACGTGCGACCTTGTCCGCCCGGTCTGCCATCGCCTCAGCCCGTCGCGTGCACGAGAGAGAGAGAGAGAGAGAGAGAGAGAGAGAGAGAGAGAGAGAGAGAGAGAGAGAGAGAGAGAGAGAGAGAGATGGGTCAGTCGAAAGCGCTGCCTTTCGTCAGGGGAAAGGCGCAGAGAGAGAGGGAGAGAGAGAGCAGAAAGACGCAGAGAGAGAGAGAGAGAGAGAGAAGAAAGACGCAGAGAGAGAGAGAGAGAGAGAGAGAGAGAGAGAGAGAGAGAGAGAGAGAGAGAGAGAGAGAGAGAGAGAGAGAGANAGAGAGAGAGAGAGAGAGAGAGAGAGAGAGAGAGAGAGAGAGAGAGAGAGAGAGAGAGTGACAGAGAGCCCCCAGACACCATCGTTTCCTCGCCTTCGTTGCCGCAACGCCGGACGTTCATCGAGTGGGCGAGGGGCTTTTTCGGAGATGAAGTCGTAGACCCAAGCCCCTCGTATGAGTTCTCTTCGATGCGGGCCGTTGACGAAACGAAAGCGCCATCTTCATAGGTATGTTGCCATCGTCGTGAATGTAGTGTAAGTTGTGACATTGATGGCCACGCAGGGCGATTGACAGTGCGACGGTGTAGGAGCGACGACGGCCAGACAGGAGGACACTACGACGGCGGAGGCGGGAACAAACGGACCAAAAACATCGCCATGCAGCCTTGAGGCCTCATGCGGCGATTGAACGGAAACCGAAAACACAAAAAGAGGAAAAAAAAATACAAAAAAATAAACCTAACGCTACTCTGTACGGAACTGATGTGCACTTACTGGCGGAAGGACTACAAGATGTCCGTCAAAGAAAACCAACAAAAGAGGCCGCAGTGCCGAAACGTGGTACCGGTACCGGTACCGACTTTTTCTTTCTTTTGACAGAGGCTCGGCAAAAATCGGCGCGCAGGCATAATTCAGGCTCGGCTTCAATAGCTGGGCCAAGTACTGGTGGTTTAAGCCCTCTTTATAAGGGCCCAACCCCCCTGGTTGACGCATCGCCGTATGGGAAGATGAGAATACGTAGAATAGATAGATTACGGATGCTCAGGCGGTGTGCAAACCTTGGTCAAAGAGATTTTTCTTTTTAGAATCCTTTTCTCAAGTTGCACTTTTTTTTTTACCTGCCTGGATTTCCCGGGTGCGTGTGCCCCTGTCAGACGACTGGCAGTGCCCAGCATAAGATTTCTATTATTGTTTTGATTATTTTAAAAAAGCAACATGTAAAGTTCATTATGAAAATCAATAGACGTAAGGTGATGAAACCAGAGTCTAGAGAGAGAGAGCGCATCAGCTGTACGTTCATCAAACAGTGATCGGTGAGAGTATACTCGCACTCAGCCCTTAAAATCACAGAAATTCAAAACGAGCGGCCAGATAAAGTCCAGCTTTAAGAAGGACTCAATCTGGCTGCTGATTTTGCGATTCTGCGATTTTGAGGGCCTACTGTGAGTGCGCCCTGAGAACAGTACATTTTTTATGAGGCTGTCAAAAGTTGAAAAAACAAACAAAATCTGTAAGTTGTACTAAGTTCTATAAATATTAAATAGTGAATAAGGTGATGAAATTGGACTTGGAAAACAAGCGCAAAAATGGCCTGGTGAAATGCAGGCAGAAAGGGAGGAAAGGACAAGAAACAGAGGGGGGAGGGGGGGGGAGGGGGACCGGATTCATGAGGAGGCTGAACCCTCTACAGTCTGCAGAGTCCCCTAACCGATATTAAATGATACTGTTAAGTCATGATCCACTTTATCCCCAGTTGCAGTTGAGCATCAACGAGCCAACGACTGCCCACCACAACCGATACCCTGAGGTGGGCTTCAACCAGTTTATTAAACTTTATATTCTATAATAATACTGTTAATTAATACATAAATAGATGGATCCATCCGTTAACGATACAGAAGACTACTAGCATGGCCCCTGCACAAGGATGACAAAAAAAAAACACAAAAACAAAAAAAATCAGATGGATGCAAGGTGCGGAAAGCGGAATCGAACTTTATTCTATAAAATACATAAATAGATGGATTCATCCGTTAAAAATGAAACGATACAGAAGACTAGCATGCCACCTTCACAAGGATAACCAAAAAAAAAAAACAGAAAAAAAAAAAAAAGATGGTTGCAAGGTGAGGAAAGCGGAATAGGAAAATGCGCACATCACCTGTACGTTCATTATGAAACTGCCGTCGCCGTCTATGTCAATCACAGGTAAGCCAGGCGATGCGACGGCCGCACCTAACGCAGCTGGCAGGCCGAACCCCATCGTTCCGAGACCTGTCACCAAAAAAGAAGGGGTTGGGTGGTGATTTTGTTTTTACCCCGCAAAGTTGAGCAAACATCAAAAGGGGGGGTGTTATAATAGCAGTAATTATCTTAACAGAAACTTTTTTCAATGTTGGAAATGTTCATTCAGAAAAAAAAAAGAAAAAAAAAAAAGAAGAATGGTTTCAGTGTTCTCTTCGTGTTTGTCCTCTCCGTTTTAATAGTTTGTTTCCGAATCGCAAAATCCGCTGATATAGGGCCAGATCCCACTGGCAAAGAGGATTGGAAGCAGTGTCTGAATCTGGACGTGTTCCACGCAGAGGTACAGAGAATTAGATCAATAACAATTCTTCGCACCTGTCCACAAACACGTCCACATTCAGACACTTACTACAATGATCCTCTTTGCCAGTGGGATCTCGCCCATATATGTGACACAGTTAAAATATAGGGGAACCTACGTGGTAGTCACAAAAACATTTTGAAATTACACTTGGGGCCAAAAAAAACGAGTTTGAAATTGCACTCCGGGCACTGTACCTGACTGGAAAGCTGGCTTGTATACATTGCCCGGAGTGCACTTTGAAACTTGTTTTGGCCCCAAGTGTAATTTCAAACTGTTTTAAGTTTGTGACTCCTGCATATTTACACCTATAATATATTACACGATTTATTATCTGCTCTGCTCGAGCATGCGACGTGATCTGGAGTCTGGACAAGTGGACCACCACCGAACAGGAACACCAGCCAACGACCACCATCATCCTCACACAGCCCTCAATACAAATACCCAAAGTCCATATACATCCAAGGGGTCAGGCGTTTTCCGGCCTGGATGTACGTGGACTGTGGCTAAGTGCAGATACATCAAGGCGATAAGGCATTTCCAGAATACCGTATCCTCAATTTCATGAATTTTTTGCCAAAAAAAGAGATTTCAATTTTCGTTCACAAAATATAAAATGTCCGTCTTGACGAAAAATCGGTGCAATGAGACGAAGTTTCACCAAGGGAACAAATTGACAAACTTCCAAAGATGCATTCCACTGCTTCCATATTGATGATTTGAGTCATGAACCAGTGACAACTTTCGGTCCAGATGCATTATAATGGATCGAGCATACGACCCTGACAGCGTCACGCTTAGTACTTAGGGAAGGCTGTCTATCATTCGCAAAAACAGTGACAACTTTCCGTCCAGATGCAGTGGACAGCCTCGACAGTCCCATATTGATGATTTGAGTCATGAACTACTTCCAACCCCTGTTGCAAGTGGACAGCCAGGCAGATGAGAAAGCAAGCAGCTACCCTCTTCACCCGAATAGAACACCCGGCGGTCATTATAGCTGAATTCGGTGCAACTTACGGTCCAGATGCAGCGATAACAACCGGGCGTTCTAACGGTAGGAAACAGCAAGGCATCAAAGCAGCGGACAGCAAAGCAACAGCCAAGCAGATAGGCTTGGAGGGCACTGCGGAGGAGGGTGGGCAGGCAAACAACAAGTCAAGCAGAAGGGCAGCATGCAGCTAGTAAGCGAAAAAACAACAAAGCAAGAAAGCAACTAAGGAACAAGGCCACGAGACAACGAGGCAGAACTGACAAGGCCTCAAAACCCACCATGCACGTGGCACTGTAACCCATAACCACAATGCACGGTGCACTGTAACCTAAGCAGAGGGCTACAATGCAGCAAGGCAGCAAGGCAGTAAGAAAGCAAGGAAGCAAGGCAACAAGGCATGAACTCCGAGGCAACAAGGCAGCGGGGCAGCAAGGCAACAAGGCAGAGGGGCAGCAACGCAACAAGGCAGCAAGGCAGGGAGGCAACAAGGCAGGGACTCCGAGGCAAAAAGGCAACAAGGCAGGGACTTCGAGGCAAAAAGGCAACAAGGCAGGGACTCCGAGGCAAAAAGGCAACAAGGCAGGGACTCCGAGGCAATAAGGCAACAGGCAGGGACTCCGAGGCAATAAGGCAACAAGGCAGGGACTCCGAGGCAATAAGGCAACAAGGCAGGGACTCGGAGGCAACAAGGCAGGAAGGCAACGAGGCAAAAAGGCAGCAAGACAGCAAGGCATGAGGCAGCACCGACAAGGCAGCCAAAAACAAGGCAAACAGGAAAGCAGCAGGGAATCACAACTGAGACAAGGCAAGCGGATGAGCGACCAGGCAGCAGAGTAACAGTGTCACTGACAAGGCAGTCCACCCATCCAACATGGAGCAAAGGAGATCCATCACTTACTCACACCTTAAGTACAACTCTTATGGACTGCTAGGTTGACGAGTGTTTGTCACCACTCACGGAACACACAGACAGAGGCATCTCGAACACAGCAGTCCGTGTCTAAACCAACAGGCACCGACTGTTTGGCACATCTTGAAGGTTTTCACTTCGACATAAAACAGAGGATCACAGGAAAAGACCAGAGAACACATATTAAACTCTACAAGCACAAAAACAACAAGTCGTAAGAGAAGAAGAGAAGAAGTGAAGTTATATATCAATCTGATTTCCTGCGCGCGCGTGTGTGTGTGTGTGTTTGTGTGTGCGTGATGAGGTGTGTGTATATAATACACCATTGATAAATGCTTCAGCCCATGACACGGTCTGAACCACGACCGCTCATCATGAGCCAAGAAAAAAAAAAAAAAGAAAAAAAATTGCGGTGTCAAAAACGTGCTCGCCCATTCAATAATTTAATTATTATTTTATTTTTCCTAATTTTTATTATTATTATTTATTTTTAGAATTTGATTTTTATTTTAAAAAAAAAAAAAAAAAAAAAAAAAAAAAAAAAAAAAAGACCAGTTACCCGATGACCACTTCCGCTGCGCAGCACTCGATATGAATTTTCTGCCCCTTTGAGACAAAGGTTCCCCCAGGGAAAAAATTGACCCACTCCCACAGGGGTATTATTGCAAAGCTTTCCAGCGTACTACCCGTCTTCACCCGAATAGTATACGGCCGGTCATTGTCGCTGTTTCTGGACTGAAAGTTGGCCCATATACAGCTTTAATGACCGGGCGTTCTATTCGTGTGACAACGGTAGTGGAACATCAAGCCAGCATATTATCTATGACCTATGACACCGCGACATGCATGTACATAGTCAACAAAGGGCCTTGCTCCACTGCACAGTATCTGGACCTCTGAATGGTCCCCATACATTCAAAAAAAATGTTGGGTCAGCCCGATTCAGATTGACGTGCCGTGGAGCGCGGCGCCAAAGGCTAATGGAAAAGTTACGTATCATTCACAACACAACAGTGTGTAATGGAAAAGCACGCCAAGACGCCCACCGGTTAAGGATGACATACTGTTTCGTTGGACTCTCTCCGACTCGTCAGCAGGTAGGGGGCTAACTATATTTATATGGGTCTCGCCGCACGGGACACGAAACGAAAACGAAACGAGCGCATCTGCCCGCGAAAGGTGGCAAAATACACACGTTACTATTTATCGCAAACCGATGAACCTGGCCATTTTCTACAGGAAGATGCACTCGTTTCGTTTTTCCGTTCGTGTCCCGTACGGCACACGAAACGAAAACGAAACGCGTGCATCTGCCGACGAAAGGTGGCAAAATACCCTCGTTACTATTTATAGCAAACCGATGAACCTCGCCATTTTCTTCAGGAAGATGCACTCGGTGGCAAAATACACTCGTTACTATTTATAACAAACCGATGAAACTGGCCATTTTCTGCAGGAAGATGCACTCGTTTCGTTTTTCCTTTCGTGTCCTGTGCGGCGACGCCGTATATGCCCCACCGTCTCAAGCTGGACCCTTTCAAATTGGCGAAAATGGTAAACACGACAGACTTAAACTACTGAGCCCTCGACAGTCTGCAGCATCCCCATATAAAATGTAAATATAAAGTCAATGCTTTTTTGGGATGAGGTAAAATCTACTTGATCCTACCTTCTTCCCCCGAATACAACGTAAGGTCATTATAGTTGTGTATTTGAGCCACTTTCAGTCTAGATACAGCTATAATGACCGTACGTTGTATTCGGGGAAAAAAGGTAGTTGCGAGTGGACAGCCAGACAGGTCAGACGGCAAACAGGGAGCCAAGCAGTAAAGTCATATATCAAAGACGTTTTTGCTTTTGTTTTTCTTTTTGTTTTTCTTTTAAATAAAAATAATTGGACCATTTCTCGATTTATGCGTGTCATCCTTGCGCAGGTGCTATTTGCTAATTACCCTTTTGTACCGTTGCAATTTCAAACGGATGTCCCCAAGGACAAAGACGTTTGACTGCGTGCTGTTGCGCAGAGTGGCAGCAGCACCGAGACAGCTGAACAGAATTGGACGAAGCAGTCGGCAGCGGGGGCGAAGCAGCGAGGAACAGACCGAAAAAAAAAAAAAAAAAAAAAAAAAGGCCAAACTGACAGGTAGAGCGGCCAGGCAACAACAACAAGGCGAAGGGCCTCGCCAGGCGGCACACGAAACGAAAACGAAACGAGTGCATCTGCCCACGGAAGGTGGCAAAATACACTCGTTACTTTTTATAGCAAGCCGATGAACCTGCCCGTTTTCTGTCGGAGGAGGCACTCGTTTAGTTTAAATTTTCGTTTCGTGTGCCGGTGCGGCGGACGCTGAAAGAAGTGAGAGAAGCACGGACCGACGAGGCAAGCAAATCAAAAAATAAATTAAAAAACTGGGGCACAGCCGGGGATAGGTCCCACTTACACGAATTATTAAGCGATATCGACCGTAGAGAGCAAAGATCACCGGCCAGAATCTCTTCATCCGTGCAAGTGGGACCTTGCCCCCGGGCAGTACCGACAAAGCATGTCCAGGCATACAGCGCGGACCAAGCAAAGCAGAGAGAGCGCACCACCTTGTCGAAACCGAAAACGTACGACTACATGTTCCCGCAAGGTGTGGCCAGATGCATCCGTTACTACATATATAGCAACGGATGCATCGTTCCACCTTTCCGCGTAAGATGCATTGCATTCGTACGTTTTCGTTTCGACAGTTGTGCGGCGAGGCCCTTACTTGTATATATCATCACATGAATATCAGAGCGCAAATGCGAAAAAAACTGGGCGGTTCCACATATAGTGCAGAAACTTCTACCGACGGACTGTACGTTGTTGACGTCATCAACGGACCCAGGTAGTTCCACATACCTCCTGACGTGAGCAATCTTCTTGGATGGTCAAATCCGAAGAACTGGGCGGTCCACATTTGATGTTGACCTACTCCTGTGGATATGATGACTTGTCCTTTGGTCAGCTTCCGCAACATAGCTATGGCGTGCTGGGGGGCTATGGTTTCTTCTCCCTCCTCCCCCTCCCCCTCCCCTCCTCCCTCCTTGCTTTGCGGATACGTCATCGGATACTCCTTCTTCTGGTACTCCAATTCGCTGACCCATGGTGTGAAGTCCAACTTGGGCATGCTGGAGCGGAGAATTCTGTTCAATTCACCCAGAGCTGCCTTGACATCGGCGAAGACGGCAAGATGAGGCGTCTTGATCTTGCCCAGCTCGGCGGGATCGATGTCCACGTGGACGATGTTGGCCTTGGTGGCAAACAGGTCCACCTTACCGGTCACCCTATCATCGAATCTCGCGCCAAAAGCCAAGAGGAGGTCGCTCTCCTGAACCGCGTAATTAGCCCAGACAGTTCCGTGCATCCCGAGCATCTGCAGACAGAGGGGACTTTTGGCGGGAAACACTCCATGACCCATCAACGTGTGCGCGACGGGCACTCCTGTCATCGTGACGAACTCTCGAAGCTCATCTGATGCATTCACACACCCCCCTCCCACGTAGAGTACCGGCCTCTTTGAGCTCTGCAGCAGCCGTACGATCTGATCTAATTGCTCTGTAGATGGGACACCTGGCAATCGATCCAAGTAGTTCTGCAGCCGCATCCTTGACGACCAATCAGGTACGTTCATCGCTTGTTGAATGTCCTTGGGAATGTCGACAAGGACCGGTCCTGGCCTTCCCGAGGCCGCCAAGAAGAACGCCTCCCTGATTACCGTCGGGATCTCGTCCACGCTCATCACCAGGTAATTATGCTTGGTGATCGATCTTGTGACCTCGACGATCGGGGTCTCCTGGAAAGCGTCGGTCCCGATCATCCTACGTGGCACTTGGCCGGTGATGGCGACGAGCGGGACGCTGTCCATCAAGGCATCGGCAAGTCCGGTGACTAGATTCGTTGCACCTGGTCCGGATGTCGCGATGCACACACCCACACGACCTGAGGCTTTCGCATACCCCTCGGCGGCAAACACCTCCCCTTGTTCGTGGCGGCAGAGAACGTTCTTGATTGATTGGGATCGCGTCAAAGCTTGATGAATCTCGATCGAAGAGCCGCCCGGATACGCGAACACGTGGCGCACGCCCTCCCTTTCCAAAGCCTCGATCAGAATATCGCAACCCTTACGGGGCTCGTTATCAGCATAACGAGATCGGAAATCGGACGGCGTGGGAGCCGCTAGGCTCATCCCGCTGCTCACCCAGTTACTCAAAAATGTGCCCTGAGCAGTCTCCACACAACAAGAAGAGGAGGAGGAGGAGGAGGAGGAGGAGGAGGTGGTGGTGGAGGGCGTCTTAGAGAAGTAGGTCATGGGAGAGGCAGATAATATGGCAGTGGGTTCAGGCAACTCGTCGAGGAGGAGACCTCCACCGGTCTCGCGGGTCAAGGATCCCGACTGCGGAGACGAAGAAGAGGAGGAGGAGGAGGCACGTACACGTGAGGTAGGGGGATTTGACCGCTCGCCTCTCGATGTCCCGATCTCCCATGATTCAGTGAATGAAGACGCTAATGGAGATTCAGAAGCCGGCGAAGATAGAGACGACGAAGAAGGAGAAGGAGAAGGAGAAGGAGAAGGAGAAGGAGAAGAAGAGGATGTAGCAGAAGAAACGTTGGCTTTCGTCCTCTTGTCGCTCATAGGAGTTGGGAAGCATCTAGAAACCGCTTGCAGCAACGTTGTTGTCGGTACTGCCCCGAGCAATGTACGACAGCCTGCCACGTGTGCGACGCCGATTAGCCCGCCATGTGCGACAACAGTCGTGTTGGTTATATGACATCCTCGTCCATCTCTGACACGACTACTGACAGGATTCCTGATTACATTTCTGACAGGATTACTGATTAGATTACTGACAAGATTGATTGGAGCCGCAGGTGTAGGAATATGTGAAGGTGGGGAGGTGGAAGAGCAAGAGGAGGCCCTGGGGGGGCGGAAGCTGCTGCTGCCACAAGAAACAATAACTTCGGCAGCAGCAGCAGCTGTGCGAACCTCAATGCCGCACCTAGCGTCGCACAGTTTGCCATCGCAGCCGCAGCCGCCGCCGCACAGCAGATCGCCGCCAAGAGGACGAGCCAGCGTGGCCGTACAACTCATCAGCGCCATTGTCGTTTTCTTTCAAGTCCAGAAACGAGCCGTACGGTTCCGATCGGTACCGATCCGCCTACGAAGACCGTTCCGTTTTTCTCTCGAACTTATAATACCTAATATTAAGTTTTTGCTTTTTTTTTTTAAATCAATCGGAGTCAAATTTACTGTAATAACGAGGACCGAAGGGAATTGGCTGGCAGAATCAGGAATTAAAATAATGGCGCTAGCATTCCAATGTTAAAATATAAACTAATTAATAATCGTTCAATCAAACAAAGGAGAGAGACAGAGGGACACACACACACACACATACACAAAAATAAATAAATAAATAAATAAAAAATCGAACGGATTAAATCGGTTGTTTAAGAACGGAATGAGATCGATCTAGCTCTTCATTCCAACTCTCGGCGAATCGAAGGGAATGGATGGGAATCGAAGCGGGCAATATTTGGGTACAATAAATGTGTGAGAATTTGAATTACAAAAGTATTCAACGATTATACTTGCTCGGACTTTACTTATTATTGTAGTAATAGAGTAGATATAAAACGACTACCGGTAGACTAAGTACGGACAACTGAAGTCCCACGAAAAAAAAAAAAAAAGAAAAAAAAAAAACAAATGAATTTAGTGGTTACAAGAGTCGGAACGAAACGGCCTTTCAAGAAAATAAAAACTGAATTCTAATATTTTTTCGAATGCGATAAAATATTAGAATTCCAAAAAAAACGATAAAAACAATCAGCGACAGTTCAGACACCGTCGAGGCTGCTGCACCTTTCAAGGAAAAAAAAAGAGAAAATTAAAAATAATATATATAAAATAAAACCCGGCTGTTCACACCCCGATGATTGAACCGAATCGAGAACGCATCAATTTCCGTTCCGATTCACTATGATCAACTCGAAGCTGGTTCGCCGTCGATCCACCTCTTAATTGATCGACGGTGAAAAGCACAGATCAACACGACGACCAAGCTTCTTCTTCTTCTTCTTCTTCTTCTTCTTCTTCTTCTCTTCTCTTCTTCAGCAGCAACACCGCCAGAGAGTAATCCAATCCAAGCCCAGAAAAAAATTACCTTTAGCCGCAGCAGAAGCAGCAGCAGCTGAAAAATAAGAAGATTTTTTTCTTGAAGAACAAGAAGAGGAAGAAGAAGAAGAAGAGGAAGAAGCAGAGAAAGAAGAAGAAGAAGAAGCAGAGGAAGAACACCAACAACGACAACGACAACAACAAAGAGGAAGACCAGCAAGTAATCCCAACTCAGAAAAAATTGGAATTAGCAGCAGCAGAAGAAGAAGAAGAAGAAGAAGAGAGGCCAATAGGAGAAACGAGCACAAAGGGCGACGGCGCAGCGATGGCGATGGATATTATGGATTATCCAACCAGAATGAAGTCTGGACTGTAGCCGGCTCGAGTCGGGATTGGGATTGGGATTGGGATTGGGATTTGGATCAGGATCGGGATTAGGGTCGGGATCGAGAGGAGAATCAGCAGTCCCGATCAATCAGATGAGGCAGGTAGCAACCGGCGAATCGGAAGACGAGAAGACTGCCGTACGATTCGAACCAATTAAGCGGCGGATGACAGCTGGCAGGCAGCGACCGCCAACCGAGGCGAAATACTGACCACATACATCTCCCCTTCTTACCCCTCGCAGTTGCGCGCTCACGTGGATCGGCAATCTCGATGCTTGATCGATGTTCGTTCCGTACCGCGGGTTTGAACCGTCGGGCCACCGACCAATCGAAATTTAAGGTCGTTCTGAGGTCCCGATCCAAACACAACGGGATCGCGGCGAGGCTGTCCCCAAGTAAAATCACGAGACTGGGGAAAGTTGACCCAGATTGAAGAGAAATGGAAGGTTCAAGCGAAAGATCTCCGAACTTTCCTCTTTGCCTGCTCTTCTTCCTCTTTTCCCTCGACTGAAGAATCTGCAACGAATGAACGATCTCGTCGTTCTGCTGCCGTACCAGACCTCTCTCTCTCTCTGTGTGTGTGTGTGTGTGTGTGTGTGTGGGTGTGTGTGTGTGCCTGCTCTTCTTCCTCTTTTCCCTCAACTGAAGAATCTGCAACGAATGAACGATCTCGTCGTTCTGCTGCCGTACCAGACCTCTCTCTCTCTCTCTCTCTCTCTCTCTCTCTCTCTCTCTCTCTCTCTCTCTCTCTCTTCGATGTGAATGTGTTGACACGTGGCTATGATCGTCTCATCCTCCAGTCACGTCGGCATTTCCGTCGATCCGCAATCCATGTACCGGTCGACGTGCAGCATTATCCTTAATTCATAATTATATATAAATAAAAAACGGATTATTTTGTCATCTTGCAGTCACTGTGTTCAATCTTCATGGTCAAACAAATCTGTAGCTTCGTTGACTGCACGGCACTCCCCTCGTCGTACTCTCCGAGACCTCCTCCGGGTACCTCCCTGCATTCTCTTTCTCCTCCTCCTCCTCCTCTTCTTCTTCCACGCGACCTGCTCCTCTGCCTTCCTGTTTCTCTCCTCCTCCTCCTCTGCTAATCACTTCTTTCTTCCCATCAGTTCTCTGCTATTAAGAAGTCCAAGCGCATGCCCGGATTACTACGTGCCTCCTCAGCCCTCTCTCTCTCTCTCTCTCCCTCCTCAGCCCTCTCTCTCTCTCTCTCTCTCTCTCTCTCCCCTGCTGGTTCTCGCCCGGCGATGAGCCGCCTTCCCCCCAGGTTGCAGGTTGGAAATGAATTTGCCGCCCTGCTTGTAGAATTGAGGGACAGTCCCCCCCCCGCCCCCCCCCCCGCTTGTAGAATTGAGGGACAGTCCCCCCCCCCCTCTTCTTTGTGGCTACCCCATAACATGATTGTGTCCACTTGGTCTAGTGTCTAGGGGCCAGATCCCACTGGCAAAGAGGATTGGAGTAAGTGGCTGAATCTGGACGTGTTCCACACAGAGATGCAGAAAAGCAGTTCAATCACAACTGTTTGCACCTCTCCACAAACACGTCCAGATTCAGAGGCTTATTCCAATCCTCTTTGCCAGTGGGATCTGGCCCTAGGACTCGAGGTGCTGATGGATGCATATGTGTAGAGCTCCCGCCACAAGGGCAGCCGGGCGGCGAAGAAGAAACAGACCATCCTTTACACCTTTTTTTTTCTTTTTTCTTTTTTCTTTTTTCAAGGCTAATTCCTGTCGAATCTGGACAGGACTCGCCATCCGCCACAAACAGTGGCGAGACTTGGCGAGGCCGAAAACTGCATTTTTCTGGCGGAAAAAGGGTCTTGGTTCCGTTACATCGCCGCCGCCAGGTGCGCTGTAGCAGCTCCATAGCAGCTGGGCGATACCGGCTCAAGCCTCCAACGAGGGAACATGCAGGAGCTGCACTCACCAGCTGCCCCGTAGCAGCTCCATCCGTGCTCAAGCCTCCAACGAGGGAACATGCAGGAGCTGCACCCATCAGCAGCTGGGCGATACCGGCCAGGGTTCAGCCGGTAGCATCAGGGGCGTGGTCCCACTAGCAAAGAGGATCGGATCGAATGCCTGCATCTGGACATGTTTGTGGAGAGGTGCAGGAAATCGAGATTGAACTGCTTTTCTGCATCTCTGCATAAAACACATCCAGATTCAGGCATTCGATCCGATCCTCTTTGCTAGTGGGACCTCGGCCCAGGGAGGGCTTCTTCGATGGGCCAGTCAGTCACTGTGCCTCCCCTCCGGTCCCCCCCTCTATAGGGCCTCGCCACACAGGCTGTCGAAATGTGCAAAACGAGAACGAACTTTCCCGCTAGAACATGGCCAAATGCACCTGCCACATTTTTGTCGTTTTCACGTTTCGAAAGTCTGTGTGGCGAGGCCCATAAAGATCAGCAGGTCTCTGCTCAACGCCACTTGGGGGACAACAGCATATCTCTCTATAGGTACCAAGCTTGCCCAGGAAGGTACGTGAGGCCAGTGGGGATTGAACCCAAGACCTCATGAATGCCACTTGCGTGCCTTACCAACTGAGATAGGCTACTGTATTATTTTTCCCTTTTCTTTTCTTCTAATGATACGACACCCAAAAAAACAAAAAAAACGCGTGCCTTACCAACTGAGATAGGCTGCTGATTCTTACGCGTCGAATCCAGACAGGATGTAGCAGGTATCGGAGAACCCCTCAGCAGGCACATCCGTGCTCAAGCCTCCAACGAGGGAGCACGCGGGGGCTGCACCCAGCAGCAGGTGCTATACCTGCTACAGCAGGTGTGCAATACCGGCCAGGGGTCAGCCGGTAGCATCAGGACCGGTGAAGGAACCATGATAGTGACCACGTGATTAGCCTTATTAGCTGGGATGCCGTGGTACAGCCAAAAGTTCGAGGCGGACTTAACCATTCTGGACCCACCACTACCACATTTGCACTCTCCCTCCAATGAATCCAACACCGGATCTGCACACCGTACCTACCATGGAATGGAAAACTCTAGCCCTTAAACCACCAGTACTTGGCCCAGCTATGGGCCGCCGGCGATTTCCGTTAAGGCGCCGGTAGTTGTGGGCTTCGGGGCACCGAACCACAATGGCTGGAAGCCCCAGCCAAAATGAAAATGAAACGGTGCCCCGGCGGCTCGGCAAAACTTGGCGTGCAGGGGGTATCCCGGCTCGGCATCAATAGCTAAACCACCAGTACTTGGCGGGGTGTTGTCGCAGCAACTTTCGCGGCCTCTGGGCCGATGATAAATTGCATCAAAGGCCCAGAGTGCGCCGCCGGCCTCCGAGAGTCGTGAGGAGGGCCCCGCGGCCGATGTATGGGCCAAGTATTGGTGGTTTAAGAGATAGCGAGGTTAGCAAGGAAGGCCCCACCCTCCACACACCCTTTGACCTGGCTAGATGACAGGTACTAGGCAATCCCCGTACCTGGAGTTGTCAAGCACCCAACCCTGGGCAGGTCTGCAGCCCCAGAGGACCTTAGAAAGGACCGGTTCCGGGTGCAACTTCTAAGGCTTTGGGAAAGGCTACCCTTACAGGACAACCCCCCCCCTCCTTCCCTCAGTGGGAGAAGGTGGCATGAGAACCTCTTACAAATCGGCAAGG